GCTAATTGTGGAATGCTTAGATTTTATATCTTTTTTTTTAGCTTTTATTTTTTATTTATTTATGAAACAAATATAGAACTAACCCTATTTTTCCTAATATGATGCACAATATCATCTTCCCTGACTGGATGATAGATATTTTCTGTTACTTACGCATGTCTTAGCTGTCAAAAATAAAAACTCTTTTTCTTTATTCGAGCCCTGAGGATCTTCGGTGATTTAGGTAAGGCGACCAGATTTGACAACCATGATTTGAGGACAAATTAGCGGTGTGTCCTCAAAAACATTTTATGATTTGAGAGCATCCATATATTTATAGAATATATTAATTTATAGATTATATTAATATAGAATATATTAATTTATATGTGCAACAAGGATATCTTTTTAAATTGTTGACTAATATCATGTGCCATCTTCAACTTGAGATTTTTTTAATGCGCAAATAAATATGTCATGACGCATTTTCGATATTCTTTCCTACATAAGAAAAGTAACTGACAAAAATGCAACATTAATTCTAACTGCATTCCTTAATTTAGTTTTTTCGAGACCTAAAATAGCTTCTATGCACGAAAACTGTATTAATCGATATCACGTGCAATTCTGTAACCTTATTATTTTTTCTTTTGCTTCTAAAAGTAACCGAATGTATTCAATTATTAAGGAATTTTTTTATTTATTTTCAAAATAATCCAAGAAAATAAATTATTATTTTTACTTTAACTTGTAAGGTTATTCCATATCATACTGGTCCAAAGCCCATGACACGGGAAATAAAAAAATGTTTTTACGGAAAAAGGACGATCATGTGTCTGATTACCTTACTTTGTCGTTAGAACTAAGTAACTAACTACCATTAAGAAAAGTATGATACTATAAGTATTTAACTGTATCGCGTCTAAATTTTTTTTTAAAAATTCTTGAGGTGAACGTATTATGCTTGGAATATAGTTTTCCGGAAAAAATAATGCTTTGGTACTGTGTTTCTTAACCCAATTTACTCGAAGGATCGGTAAAATATTTTAGTGTTTTATCGCGGACCGGTAGGCATAATTTTTACTTATATAAAATTGTGACCCTTATATATAATTTTTTGACTAGTTTGTTTCTGATCATTCACATACTCTCTACAGTGAAAAAATTTTTTTTGAGCCCATACCTATTCAAATGCAAATAAAATTTATATGAATTGTAATACAAGTATTAGTTTTGCGTTTCTAAAGATGAAATTTCGAAACCTAATTATGTAACCATGTGTAGGTAGAAAAATAAAGTTAGTAAATTATTTCCCCTAGTGGGCGTTGTAGATTTCTTGGGGATTTTCTAGAAGATGTGTAAAAACTCATATGCATATTTTTTTTAAAATATTGAATACACTTTAGAACTAATATTTTATTTTAAATTTAAAAACCAATACATTTTTAGTTTTGCATAAATTATATGTTATTAAAGCAAATATAAATTCTGTGTAATTTATCGAGAAAAAACACAAATCTTTCTCAATATTTTGGCATTATTACAGGGATGATACGGGTACCTAAAAAACAAAAATGCGGTAGAAACTTAATTCATTATTATATAATGTCACAATTTAACTATTTATCCTTAACTACCACCATATATATCATTAATAGTGTTCTATATTTTCAATATTAAACCCGAAAATCTTCCTTACATTCGCTTATAAGAGAAAGAAATAAGTTAGTTTTGCTGGTTTTAATCTTCGTTTAATAGATTTTAGCTTTTTATTGGGCACCAGTTCTAATATTTTGAGGCTCATGTAACCATTGTTAACTTTTACTCTCTCCCGAACATTTACTTCTACAAAATAATTTGAAAAACAAATTTCATGCTTTCGTCGTAGTTCGAAAACTTCAACCGAAATTGAACCTCTAGCTCAGTGTTTCCCAAACTTATGACTTAAATGTACCTTTTCTAAATTTTTTGTAACTCTGCGTACCACTAATAAAAAAAAATGAATGTATTTTTGACTATAAAAAAAATTGCACAAAAGTTAAAAATCACAACTGGCTGTTGACGCCACTAATTATTAACTGTTAACTCTGCAAAAAAAATAGCCAATAGAAAAATACGTAATCGTAAATTTTCATGGCTAGCTTTGTTTTTAAATAATTTTTTTGAAATTTTCGTTTGTTGCAAGATATTTTGCATTACAACGCGTACCCCTGCTAAACTGTTCCCGTACCCCTGGGGGTACGCGTACCACACTTTGGGAAACACTGCTCTAGCTATTTTAACTTCATGAGCAATTACTTAATATTGTTTTTTTCATGTGAAATGAGAAATCATTTTTGGGATTGGTAAAACAATTTACAAAAACCAATCTCAAGTTCTATCTGAATTAGTCTTAAAGAGACATGACGTCACGTGTGGCTATTAAAGCTTTGAAAGGAATTCGAGTCACGATATTTGTTAACTATTTAAATTGAAATGCAAATTTGTGGTTATCCTCACATTAATTTTTAGAAAATTCTTTTATGAATTTATCATGAGGCTTTTTAAATGTGTCACTCTCCTTTAAAAAAAATTCAGTAATTCATAATTAGTGAGAAAAATAGCGTGGCACTTACGAAAAAGCGGATACTCAAGTTGTCAACTTAAAGGTCACGCCCGTTAGTCATGGGTAATCATTGTAATAATCGTGGTCGACCGATGGTCGGTCGGCTGACCCTTGTAGGTGTTTAGTCATATTTTCCCCAAAACACTACATTTTTATTGTTCCCGTGCTCTGGAATTCCGTGGCTTTCATTTAAAGAATACTTGCCTTTAGCTTTTTTGCTATGCTTAGTTGCACAGAAACGCGCAACGTGCTTGTTTTCATATCCTTTTGATTGCCTAACTGTTTTTGAAGACTGTTACTGTCAGATAATGAATATGGGTTTTGATGGGTTTAAAGATTATACGATGACTGTTGAATTCGCTCTTTTTATATCACCAACTGTACATCATTATTATTTTTCGAATTACATCATTGATGCGTTTAGAATCTGCCATTCATACGTGGAAAAAATAGGTCTTTTGGAAAAGGTGTGATGAATAAAAGTTATCAATTTTGACGTCTTCTTTTGCTTGCTTCAGTGCTTATTCTCTTTAAAGAGTAGTATTTTTTAAAATTGTTTATCTCATATTTTTAAATAAGTGTTAGTATTTTTTTGTCGTTCGTATTAAGGACGTAGCAAATTTGCTTTTGTTATATAGTCTATACATATTAATTAGTCTTTTTTGATACTATACTTTAACCATTTTTTTTTTTTTTTTTTTNTTTTTTTTTTTTTTTTTTTTTTTTTTTTTTTTTTTTTTTTGTAAATTCAAGTATTTTTACAGTTGATATTTGCAGACGTCCTGAAATTGAACTTGGCATTTCGTGCGTGCACTCTCTGTCAAAAACTATGCCGAAAAAATTTCATGGAAATGTAAAAACGTCATGATGGAATGATTTTATTTTATAGCTGGCGTTGAACAGCCGATTCAATTCTTAGCTTACGGCTACAAGCATTTAGCTCCGTAGCCCTGTAATTTTGAACCCAACCCCGAAGACATGAAAACTCCTCCTGGATTAAGCATTGGGAAAAACTAACCTTTGTGGAGGACTTATGAGTGGAACTAATCCGGATTTGCGTGACATGGTGATGAAAACCGCGAAAACCTCTCCCGTTTCACCCGACAGTAAGGGGATTATAACTTCTGACCCATGATCTGTCTACCACTGGATATGTTTTTATTACCTTTATTAATTTTATTCTAAATATATTTTATATTTTAAAAACTTACTCCAATGCTGTATGTATTACATGGCCGCATAAAAATTAGCGAATAAGGCAGTGATTTTGATAATTTTCATCTATGGGTGGAAAAATGTCGCCAAATTGGCGTTTTTTAAAATAGTTTTATAACTTTTAAAATATTTAAGCTATTTGTCTGTTCTAAAAACAAGATAATTCTTCACTGCAAGATGCTATATATAGTTTAAAATCATCGCACTGATTCGAGTGTGAGGCTGATTGTGTCTTTTTTAATTTTCTTTGACGACAGCTTCGAAAGACAACGTCAATGCAATGCAATGCATTTTCAGTTTAATTTTCAATGTGGGAAGATGTGCACGAATCCTCAAATGTCAATGACTAGGATGTAAACCGATTTTAATATTAGACATTATGTGATTTTAATGTTTAGCATAATGAGTTAGTTAACCCTTTGCGGAACGGAAACTTATTTATCGAAAAAGTCAAGAGAATTGTGGTTATCAGACACATATCCACAATAAAACGATCAGCTTTATCTTTACATTTTTCAGAATAAAAAATGGTTGATTTCGGTCAAACATGCTAAACGCATTATTTCAATCAATATTTTTTACTAACACACTGACATTTATTTTTCTGTAATTTTAATTTTCTGAAAAATATTCCTATAAAATATTAATAATTCAATTTGAGTAAACGCTCTCTGTTGAGAAATTTTTAAAACTACTCTAGTTACTTAAGTTTACACGGTCATTGACAAATTCGACATTTTGAAAGCGTATAATTATTCGATTTCTGATTAATCATATGTTTTCATGATGTATTAAAGTTGCAAATTCTGTAAATGAAATAAAGATAAAATAAATTTCATAAAAAACTAGTGTTCAACTAAATGATTTGTCCATTGATTTGGCCGTGATGCATACACGTACCATTTTATTTCTTAAAAAATTTTTATATGGTAAATTACATATTGAATTTTTTTTTTTCTAAATTAAATTTTGTTGTATCAGTTTTTTGAAATTTTATTTTATCGTTCAATAGAAAGAAAATCGGTTTCAAACCTCTTTTCTCGGAATCCATTATGAAACACTAACGTTTTTTAATTGCTCGATATTATTGTTCTATGAGTATGATATTTTAATAAAATGCATTTTTCTTTGAAATTATGTACGTTTTGCGATTTAGAAACTACAGTTAATGTGTTAATGATTTTTCTTTCTTTATTTTTAGGGTCGTCATACGAAAACTGGTCAGCTTGCAGCAATCAAAATTATGGATGTGACAGAGGTATGTAGTTTTATATCTAACCAGTGGCAGTTACTGTAGTTTTCTATTAAAAAATTAAAAATAAGTGATAAAGAAACGAAAGTTTATTTATCATAAACTTGACTATTATATTATCATAACTGTGACGTTTTAAAGTAAGTTGAAACTTGTAAAAATAATAAAGAATTATAATAAAGTAATAAAAACGTGAAAATGAGAAGAAACGAATGTGATATGGAAAATTAAACGCAAAGTTGCTAACGAAAAATGGAAAAACAAAACCAGAAAAACACAGAGAAAAAAGATGAAAATAGAACAAAGACATCAGGGTAAAATGCATTTCCACGTGCTATGAAGAGGTATGGAAAAATTAATGTCGTTAACAAAGAAATCATTATTCACATGAATAATACAAAATCCCAAAGCATCAAAAGTAGCTGATATGACTGGAAATGCATTTTAACGTTATTTGCCCCTCTCGGCCACTGTGGTTTTTCTTGTTCTGATTTTCATATTTTTTTTTATCTCTCGGTTGCTGTGTTTTTTCTAAATTTTGTTTCTCATCTTAATTTTTAAATTTTTCATTGGCAACTTTGTGTTTTTTTATTCTTATTTTTATTATAAAAAGGGCGCTTATTTTTGAAGTGCTTGAAACATGTCGACTTATTTTCTATTGGTATATTTTTGAAGTTCTTAATCAGGTAGTATTCGAATCGTAGTTTCATGTATCAAAGTTCAATTATGTATTTTTCTCATTTGGAATTAANAAGAGGTATTGAAAAATTAATGTCGTTAACGAAGAAATCATTATTCACATGAATAATACAAAATCCCAAAGCATTAAAAGTAGCTGATATGACTGGAAATGCATTTTACTGTTATTTGCCCCTCTCGGCCACTGTGGTTTTTCTTGTTCTGTTTTTCACATTTTTTTTAATCTCTCGGTTGCTGTGTTTTTTCTAAATTTTGTTTCTCATCTTAATTTTTTTATTTTTCATTGGCAACTTTGCGTTTTTTTATTCCATTAGTTTCTTCTCATTCCCGCCTGGCAAATCTGTAAAAAGGGCGCTTATTTTTGAAATGCTTGAAACATGTCGACTTATTTTCTATTGGTATATTTTTGAAGTTCTTAATCAGGTAGTATTCGAATCGTAGTTTCATGTATCAAAGTTCAATTATGTATTTTTCTCATTTGGAATTAAAATGAAGCATTTTCACTTTTAAAAACTGATAACCTCTAAATGTTTTCCCGATTGTGATATAACGAGATAAAGCTGCAAATTATATAGAGTAAACATTTCGTTATTTGTTTACACGTGTTGATGCAACGCGTTGTTTGTTTACCCACGCTGTGAGAAAGAACATTTTATCTCTTCTATTATATTTTTAGTGTTATTTTCCCTTACAGCCGGTGTTGTATTTTTAGAGACGAAGAAGTAACCTCGGCGAGTTAGCAGATTTTTGTTCGTGAAAAACCGTCAAGATGTCATTGCTTGGTTGAATTCCACAACTCGCCTTCTTTGAGACTTTCCTTTATCGTTTATAGGGTTTCCAAGTTGCAAAAGAAAAAAACAAACAAACTTAGGAATGAAAAATTGCTGACTTCTCAGTTATTTGATAACTTTTTTCTTGAAAAGCTTACTGAAACTTAAGATCAGATTTGTATAATATAATTCACGAGGAAGGAAAACAGAAGAACGCACTTACGTATGATAAAAAGCAGCATTGGCAAAAGAAAAAAAAGATTTACTTAATTTAAATCTTATTATTTTTTTTAACAATTCAAATTAGTTTTTTTATACATAAAAGCCAAATCATCCTATAAAATATATTATCAGTTCTTACTATTATTTAAAAAGAAAAACGTACCTAAAATAGTTAATATTTCTAACTAAAATGTTTTAACAATTATTTTTTAACTACTTACTAATCACCGAAGAAATAAAATCGCAGTTATTTTTGCTCAAGCTAAACATCTTAAAATTTTAATGACAGGGTGGCATTTTGCCACTTAGATATCCAATGAGAATAAATTAGTTTAGATCAGAAAAAATTAAAGGGGGAAAAAGTATTGTAAGGATCTCTGGCAGAGCAAGTTTTCTTTTATCCTTGGTTAACACTAACTACGTATTTTTGTATTTTAAAAGCACTTAAAAGTATTCAAATCATGATTCTTAAAGCGGTACTCTAGACTCCATGATTCAAATAAACATAAAACTAAATGGGTATGATTGAAATAGGTTTATTATTTTACGTTACAACTAAGGAAATTATAATTTAGCAGTTCAACGCTACTTTTGTTAACGTTTAGTCTCGTAATTTTAGTAATTTATTAGTCTATTTATGTAATATAATAATTTACCTTTTAATTATTAATAATTATTTCTTTTAATTTACCTTTTAATTATTTCTTTGGATAAAACCTGCATTATCAATGAAATCAGCCTTGAACAAAAATACAAAAAAGAATATATTTATGAAATATTTTCGACTGAATGATTATTAAATTAATTATAAATAAATAATTTTCTTGAAAAAATAACTGATTTAAATCGATTTAAATTGCGATTTCAATCATGATTTAAATCTTTCCATAAAAAGTAAAATACTTAATTAGAATCCTCATAAAATGTAAAATACCTAATTAGATTCATTATATTTTGTTTATATTTTTAAGCTTTAAATTATATTCAGGTTTATATTTCTTTAGCTCTCAATCTTTCTTGCATTTTTATCACTGTTATTATTTTTAAATTATTCATCGTTAATTCTTCCAAAAATTTTAGAGAACTTTGCCATTAGTGCAATGTAAATAGTAATAAATCTAGAATTCAAAAAAGTCATGATACTTGCTTATTATGACTTTCGAAAGTAAATGGTGCGATTTTTTTAAAAAAAGAAATGATTGTACTTCGTATCATACTTTTTTATTATTTGCTTATCATCCTAATGCAATAATGAATTTTAATTTCGATTTTACAATTATATTTCGATTACTCATTTTAGTTACCTTGGCGACTAAAAGAGTGAGATTAACTCTATCCCTATCTTATGTTGCCAAAACAAGTCTTTTACTGGGAATGTTTGCGGTTTATTTAATCATTTCCTTGAAACGCATATTCGAGGTAAACGTTTCTTGGTTTATCACTTAGGCGATATGTGGCTATTAAGTGCTTCATTTTGTTTTAAAAAATCTATTTTTTTTTTCAAGAATTATTCTACTTGCTCTTGAAGACGTAAATAATTCTTTGTGATTTTTCTTTTAGCTTATTTAATTTAAATGCAATAGTTGAAGGAATTCATATGCCTGTGAAATATTAATAATACCTTAAAGTATGAGAGATTATTATATATTTTTAATTGTGGAAATATTACATTTCTCTACGGTTTTCGGAAAGCTTTTTTAACATTAAATGTATACAGTCAAGCCCCGTTATAGTAAACCTTCGAGGGACCGAAATTTTGGTTCACTATAACCGGGAGTTCACTATATCCGTTACTCAAGCAATTTAACTAATGGCTTCCAAACTCATCCCTTTTATTGCACATTATTCAAATAAATGACTGAAAAATATTATGTAATAGCAAAAAATGTGTTATTTTTCATTAATCTTCGTCTTGCGTGCAACAAAAAATTTGTGATTTTTCGCTGATGAGCAATCCTCAACATCAGATATGGAAACACTTCTTGACTATCAGATAATTTTTCCTGTATTTCTATTATTCCGCTTTTTAAACCTGTCTAACCTGCCATTCGAGCATATAAAAGTAGTCTCATAAAATCGGTTACCAAATTCATCGATATTTGTCCAGATACTTCGATTGGTGAACCACTTCAGTAATGCTTCTTCAACATCCTTGTGATCTGCTTTTTTCAGCCATCTAAATTTTTTTCATGAGCAGAAATTATTAATTGCCTATTTTTCCATGTGTTACATATGTATTTGGATAGTTTATATTTCCTGCAAATATCAACTTGATTGCATCCATTTTCAATTTTTTGTGATTATGCCCATCATTTTATCATCAATGGAGAACGTTTTACGTTTACTGTTCGCCATAATTAAATTTGAGACACTTGTTTGCAGGATTTTTTTAACTGAACTGAGAGCAAAAAGGAGTTGAAATGAGGGCCTTATCAACAAATATTAGTGTCCCACCCTTTGACCAATAATGAATAATTACTCATTCCCTCTGACAGAAAATGCATATTGATCCCACTGACACCTTACACGATCATCTGCCTGAGTTGGAGACATCTATCTGCTTGGTTTGCTTAGGGATAGGAAAGTGAGATAAAAGAAGAAAACAAGAAAAAAATGCTTATCGCTACATTCCCCTCTATAAATCGTTTTAAAAATCGGTATATGTATTTATTTTGAAGTAGAAATTTCAAAATTATTACAAAAAAAATTAAGAAAAAAATCAGCTGACGACAGAAAAAAGTTCATTATATCCAACTTCCTCACTTTTTTGGTTCACTTTTTCAAAAAAAAAAAAAAAAAAAAAAANGTAAGGCACGAAGCCGAACATTTCGTTCACTATATCCGGGAGTTCACTATAAACCGTGTTCACTATAGCGGGGTTTGACTGTAATTTTTTATTTAAAACTTACTTCTAAAATTTTCTTTTTAGCGAATTTAATTGGTAAATTTTGTTGAAAATACAGATTGCCGTGAACTGCTAAAATACCATAAGCGTTCTTTAAATTTTTAACCAGCCAACTACTAGTTAAAGCCAACTATTAGTAGTTATCTTGAAAATTTTTTTCCCTAGAAATTTAAGCTCTCGAAATCTAAGGGCTGCCATTAGGATTAAAAAGGAAGGCAATGCTGTAGTAGAAATTGACAATAGTAAAATAATCTACTATAATTAACTTTTATGGAAAGATGTGCTGCACGAAAAAGAGAAAAATGGATAACTTTTGATCTAATAATTGAATCTTCATGTACTAGGACTCTATCTCAATGGTTCAAAGGTGTGAACTCGAATATTCTAATAAATGCAGGCGATATTTTAAG